CTCCTGAGTTTCTCTGATACACCGCCTCTTTCGCTTTTCTTTCCAAGCTCCTTAGACTACGATGACCTGAATGGCTGAGAACCTTCACAGACATGTTTCTCTGTCATCAAAGGAAGTTGTTCTGTTAGGTTCGTCTTGTGGAGGTCCCCTCAGCTGCAGTTGCCTTGTAATGCCTTGTGCCTTGCTGTCATTGGCTGGTTTGGTTGCTCACCTCAAAGCTATGAAGTTCAACTTGGGACCGCCCACTTTGTTTTTGTTTCTGGCGTTGTCACCTGCAGGTGGCTGAATGCCATTGGGCGTCTCATCACTGTGAAGCACGTTGCCCTTGAGGTGAAGACGCGTAACCTCTGATATGCTGATGGGGAGCCCCTGGTTTCTGACCCCTCACCTGTCTTAGCTCTGAGAACTGATGTTGATGATGGAACTGGCGTGTCTCTTTGATTGGTCAGATGCTGATGATATTGATGTTTTTGATGAGGGTATTGATAATGTAATGTGGTGGCTCCAATGGTCAGTCATGATGATGATGTAACACAGCGCCTCTTTCTGATTGGTCAGACGGTGGGGAAGAGCTCAAAGATGCTGCAGCACATTGACTTCAGGATGAGGTGCATCCTGCAGGATGGGCGGATCTTCATCGGCACCTTCAAGGCCTTCGACAAACACATGAACCTCATCCTGTGTGACTGCGACGAGTTCAGGAAGATCAAGTAAGTGCTCTGGCCCCGCCTATACACTGCATTAAGGGGCGGAGCTACAGGTGTTAAAAGTCACAGAGAAAACCAATCGAACTGCTGCATGTCACTAGCCAGGGTTAACTCTGGGTTTTATCAAGGTGTCTGTCTTCCACAGACAGCGAGTGAGTGTAATCTGATACAGTCACACAAGTGTCTGAGCTGAAGCAGCAGAAACCTTTTGGCACAGAGCGGGAAAATAAAGATTTCAATTGCAGTGAATGATTCGTCTGAGCGTGCTCAGTGCTGTGGTTTGTTTCTAAGGTGATGGTTGCACATCAGAGCGGGGTAGCTTTAAACTGTATCCATGGAAACATTAAAGCTTCCTGTCCCACATCTTGATGGAGACAGAGTGCACACACCTGAACACCTTTTCAACCAATCACATTCATTCACCCTGATCTGATTTCATCTTTGCAACTGAATGACAGAAGGTGTCCACATTCATGGGCTGCATCCTCCTGAGGACGTCACAGCGACGCAACGTTTTTTGAAGGATGGGTCGGGTGTGTCCTTTGTGGCCCATCATATCCCAGAATTCATAGCGTGGCCCAGCCAATTGCAGTTTCCAACCATGGCGGCCGCTACCAAGTTTTAATTTTACTCTTATTACTCTTTCTGGGTCACAAAATAAACTTTGAAGATATTTTCAGCCCAGAATGTAGCTGTAAAATCAAATATCTGCTCGGTTTATCAAGACATCACATATTTGCAAAACTGCTCCGACGTTTTCGGAGACGTCTGCTACCCACCAGCTCGATGTGCCAGGCAAACTCCGGCACAGCGTTTTCAGATCCCCTTGTACTCAGGTCAAACATGATATATAAGTCACTTAGACAACTTGTTTTATTTGTTCCTGAGTAAATCAGTTTGGTTGAGATCAAAGTTATTAGATTTTAAATAAAACTTTATTAATCCCCCGGGTGGTTTTCACACAGCTGAATAAACATCAAACAGACGTGAGACGGTCGAGAGTTTCCTCCAGTGTCCTGTTATATTTTAGACAGCAAGGAGCAGACGGCCGAGGTTATTGAACTCTGAGTCAGCGGTGACGCTAATGTGAAGGCTAGATCGCTCCATCTCACAGCCTCGCACTTCCGGCCTACCCGACCTCCTGAGGACCCGGCCCACGTAGACCGAAGGCCGGGTCCTCAGGAGGATGCAGCCCATGAATTTGTACACCATCACACCGTGACGGATTTCTGGGTTTTTCAGGCCAAAGAACTCGAAGCAGCCGGAGCGTGAGGAGAAACGTGTTCTGGGTCTGGTGCTGCTGAGGGGGGAGAACCTGGTCTCCATGACGGTGGAGGGCCCGCCCCCTAAGGACGTGAGTGGCCCCTGCGGGAGGAGCTTCGTGAAACTGTGTTTGTTTGTGTTGAATTAATTTTGACCTCTGACCCTTCGCCTACAGACGGGGATCGCTCGTGTCCCATTGGCAGGCGTGGCCGGAGGGCCAGGCGTGGGGCGGGCAGCAGGTCGCGGCGTTCCCGCTGGCGCTCCGATGCCTCAGGCACCAGCTGGCCTTGCGGGGCCGGTCAGAGGTGTGGGCGGACCATCGCAGCAGGTAAATATGGTGATGCCAGCTGGTCTCAGTGTGTGTGTGTGTCTGAGCACGCTCAGTGATGACCGTTTCCTGTGTTTGGGCAGGTGATGACGCCGCAGGGTCGAGGGACGGTTGCCGCCGCAGCAGCAGGCGCCAGCATCGCTGGGGCGCCGACCCAGTACCCACCTGGGCGAGGGGCCCCGCCCCCCATGGGCAGAGGAGCCCCGCCTCCAGGTCAGTGATGTCACTGTAAGACAACTTGGCAACAAGACCAAGTTTGATGTGATGTTTCTTTAAAAACAAATAAAATCCCAGGAAGCTACAGGTGAGGCGCCAGGTGCGGCGCCAGGTGCGTTCAGGTTCCTCAGTCATGTGACCTGCAGTCTCCTCAGTCATGTGACCTGCAGTCTCCTCAGTCATGTGACCTGCAGTCTCCTCA